CCGCGGTGGACGTGCTCCGCTCCGCTCGGGGCCGGGTCTATGTCCCGGCTTCCCACCGTCGCGGGCAGGGCGCCAAGGCGGCCAGAGGAGGGACAGCGGTCCAGAGAGCCCCAGGAAGAGCGGCCTTCGGCTGTTCCCATCGCGGACAGAGGTGCGTGCGGTCCTCGGGACGCTGCCCTGGCCAGCGAGAGTGACGGCTGGGGGTTTCGGGGGGCGTAGAAGTCCGCCGGGGGCCGGCGGAGCAGAGTGGGCGGGAGGCCGCATGCTGCTCCTCGCCCTCCTCGCCAGAAGCGAACTTGGCGTCCAGTGGGAGCACTTTGCTCTAGAGGGGGGCGGTCCCAGACCCAAGTTGAGTGAAAACCTTCTGGGGGCCAAAAAAGTGGACCCCGAAGCCCAGACGCGCTCTCCTGTTAACCAGGCGCATAAAGCCTTTGTTCTCTACCCATCTACCCCCCCTCCTCCGCCTTCGTCGGGTCGCCAGCCTGCCTTTGGGTACAGTATGGGAGCCAGTTTCCATGGTTACCCACCACTTGGCCTTCTGGGATATGTCACTCTGAACAGGGACCTAACTTGAACCGTGAATCAGAAGCAGGCACAGGTGGCTCTTAATTCAGCTGACAGTTTTCTGCTGGGTTCCAGTTTTTGTTCTGTTGTTTGATAAAATTGGGTTTTGTGCTTCTGTATAGGTATACTTGCATATACGTTGCCTTGTACTAGCTAGGCTAACTTTGAGTCATGCATTAGCAAACGCTCAACTTGTTAGATGTCGCTAAAAAGTTGTTCTGGGCTTATAAACCCTCACTCACAAATTAGGCTTAGGTGATTTAATTGATAAGTCGTTGGTTGATGTTTTCCAACCCGAAAATTTTATTGGCTTTTTCTTTTCAGTTCTGGAAAGTTGAGTCAAAGATATCTTTACAGACCTTTTAATTGCACAATTGTTTTTCTCTCATTACAGAAGACAAAGGATGCACATCACAGGAGGGAGGAACTACTCCAACTTTTCCTATTCAAAAACAAAGAAAAAAGCTTATTCAAGCTGTGAGGGACAATTCGTTCCTTATTGTTACTGGAAATACAGGAAGTGGTAAAACAACTCAACTTCCAAAATATCTATATGAAGCAGGTAATGATATTCTGGGATAATTCGGTGAGGTTGAAGAAAATACCCTCTTGCCCTAGCCAATTTGGCTCAGTGGATAGAGCAGCCGTGGGCAAACTACGGCCCACGGGCCAGATCCGGCTCGTTTGAAATGAATAAAACTAAAAAAAAAAAAAGACCGTACCCTTTTATGTAATGATGTTTACTTTGAATTTATATTAGTTCACACAAACACACTATTCATGCTTTTGTTCCGGCCCTCCGGTCCAGTTTAAGAACCCATTGTGGCCCTCGAGTCAAAAAGTTTGCCCACCCCTGGGATAGAGCATCAACTTGCAGACTGAAGTGTTCTGGGTTCGATTTCAGTCAAGGGCATATGCCCAGGTTGTGGGCTCAATCCCCAGTGGGGGGCATTCAGGAAGCAGCCGATCAGTGATTGTCTCTCATCATTGATGCTTCTATCTTCTCTCCCTCTCCCTTCCTCTCTGAAATCAATAAAAGTACATTTTAAAAAATCCTCTTAAAGGCTAATAGGACTTCTGTATACCACAAATGCCCACTATTTGTTTTACAGACCCAGTTCTTCTCTTGGTCTGTCCCTACATCTTCCCTGCTTCTCTGTGGTTTTATTTCAGATTCAGAGATTAGTTGAGATGGCAACTTTTCCATTTTTAATTATCATAATAATCCCAAGTAAAACTATAGGTATATACTGATTCTCTGCTATAGAATAAGTTCTCTTGAAGTAGACTATTCACCATTGGGTATTGAAATCTTTTCCGGGAAAGGGATATATTAATATCTGTTCCTGACATTAGTATTTCTTCGTTCTTTTTCCAGAGCATTATCAGGTATTTATTCCCTGACTGTGCTAACACCAGCTAACAAATTACCCTTAAAGTGTCTTTCACTTTATTATGCTAAAACTTCCTAGCATAAGGTTAATATAGAACAAAATTATATTGGATGATCATATAAACAAATAAAAACTTCTTAGCTTATATATTAACTTACTCTTATGCATCAAACCTAAGATGCCATTAAGACATACCACTATTTTTTACTATTAACATACTGTTAATGAAGGAAAATTGTCATCAGTTGTCAGATGCATCTCTTTTTCAAAGATATTTTAAATAGTAAAAAAAAAAAAGTGCCTATAGAACCTATATAAAGTGATACATTTAAACTTCTGTGACAAAGATAAATCTATTTTAGGAAGTGTGTAGAATTTTATGGATTCCTAGAGATTAAAAATGTTTGGCTTATATTTTTAAAAGATGTTTTTGTTGATTTCAGAGAGGAAGGGAGATGGAGAGAGAGAGATCAGCTGCCTCCTGCACATCCTTCACTGGGGATGGAGCCTGCAGTGCCCTGACTGGGAATTGAGCTGTGACCTCCTGGTTCATAAGTCAATGCTCAACCACTGAGCCACACACTGGGCTTGGCTTACTCTTTAGAGTAAATCTTTATATTGGATTATTTTTAAATTGATTTCAGAGAGGAAGGGAGAGGGAGAGAGAGAGATCAGCTGCCTCCTGCACATCCTTCACTGGGGATGGAGCCTGCAACCCAGGCATGTGCCCTTGACCAGAATCAAACCTGGGACACTTCAGTCCACAGGCCAATGCTCTATCCACTGAGCCAAACCAGCTAGGGCTTTATATTGGATTTTTAAAAATTAGGCCTAATTAATATATATACATTTTGAATGATTATTAATATGTATTATTTTTAATTCTTAAATTTCCATGATACAAATGTAATACTATACTATGTTATTAATTTGCAGAGTTTGGGAAATACTTGAATAGTTTGTATTGATTGACCAGAAACAATTTAGCTCTAATAAGAAGCAACTGTTAACATTATTGTGTTTTTTTCACTCTGGCTTTGATAGGGTTTTCACAACATGGTATGATCGGTGTGACTCAACCACGAAAAGTAGCTGCCATATCAGTGGCTCAGAGGGTTGCTGAAGAAATGAAATGCACTTTGGGATCCAAAGTAGGATACCAAGTTCGTTTTGATGATTGCAGCTCTAAGGTACAAAAGTTTTGTTGGTATTTGTTTAAGTACTGTAAACTTATGGAAAGAGTGAAGAAAATTATGAAAGATTTTAACTTTGAAATTCTATTTATATTTTTAAGGAAACAAAATCTCAGAATTAATTTTTGTTGCCCATTGTTAATGCTTTGGAATGTCTGTTTAACTCATTTTCTCCGTTCTCAATTGATTTCTAAGTGACAGTTATGTTTCTTTTTTTCTAAATATATTTTTATTGCTTTTTGAGAGAGGAAGGGAGAGGGAGAGAGAGATAGAAACATCAGTGATGAGAGAGAATCATTGATTGGCTGCCTCCTGCAGGTCCCCTACTGGGGATCGAACCCACAAAACCGGCATGTGCCCTTGACCAGAATCGAACCTGGGACCCTTTAGTCCGCAGGTTGACGCTCTATCCACTGAGCCAAACCTGCTAGGGCATGTTTCTTTTTCTTAGAATTTTCTTATTTTATTATTTTTTAGCTCCAAGGATCCTACATGTAACTTAAATTTGTATTCTTTTAAAAACGTTTTATTGTAAAATATACATAACATAAAAATTTACCATTTTAAACATTTTTAGGTGTGCCATTCACTGGCATTAAGTACATTCACAATGTGTGTCACCATCACCATTATCTGTCTTCAAAACTTTCTCATTATCCCAATAGAAACTCTGTATCTGTTAAATAGTAACCCCCTCTTCTCCCCAGCCCCTGGTAACTACTATTTTACTTTCTGTCTCTGTGCATTTTCCTATCTCATAAATGGAATCATACAATATTTTGTCCTTTGTTTTGGGCTTATTTCATTTAGCCTAATGTTTTTAAGGTTCATCCATGTTGTTTGCTTGTATTCTTGAAGTCAATGGAAAACTGACAACTAAATTAACAAAGTCAGCAAGTATTTTATACTGAGCATCTTCTATATTCATGGCACTAACAAGTTTAAAATTGTTTTCTTTTTAATAGTTAATAGTTACAATTTACATTCTCTTGGGATTTCTTAATTTTATACTAGATACAAAGTAATCCCTGATTTACGTAAGGTTACTAATGGGAATGGTCATCAATTATGGCACAGGATGACTCTCTAAAATACTGTCTTTGCCTTCCTAGTAGCCACTGCAACTGTCTTTCTTTTCCCTTCCATTGTTTTATGCATATCACTACTGTTAACTCCTAGCCTTGCTTAAAACTTTGTGTTTTAAACATTAGGAAACAGCAATCAAATATATGACTGATGGATGTTTATTGAAACATATTCTGGGAGATCCAAATCTTACCAAGTTCAGTGTCATTATTTTGGATGAAGCCCATGAGAGAACTCTAACTACAGTGAGTATTTTAATATATTGGTTATCTGTTAGACAGTTTGCTTCGGGGTAGCTTTTGGATTACCTCTCTTACATCTTAATCTATTGAAATAGGGAGTCTTTGGTTAGGGAAACAAAATATTTAAAAAGAGGTTGTTATGTATACTTATTAGAAATTTACTTTTCTTTCAGGACATCTTGTTTGGTTTATTGAAGAAGCTATTTCAGGAGAAGTCTCCTAACAGGAAGGAGCATTTAAAGGTCGTGGTGATGTCAGCAACTATGGAATTAGCCAAGCTCTCTGCATTCTTTGGAAATTGTCCAATATTTGATATACCTGGAAGGCTTTATCCAGTCAGAGAAAAATTCTGCAATTTGATCGGCCCACGAGACAAAGAAAATACTGCATATATTCAAGCGGTATTACTTTGCATCTTTTTTATATCTGTGATTCTAGTTGATTGTATAGTTTGATAATTTATTTGTTCCCCATTATCATTTTAAAAAAATATATTTTTATTGATTTCAGAGAGGAAGGGAGAGAGATAGAAACGTCAGTGATGAGAGAGAATCATTAATCAGCTGCCTTCTGCACACCCCACACTGGGGATCGAGCCTGCGGCCTGGGCATGTGCCCTGACCAGGAATCGAACTGTGACTTCTTGGTTCATAGGAAAGTGCTCAACCACTGAGCCATGCTGGCCAGGCTATTTTTATTTTATTTTATTGATTTTTAGAGAGAAATCAAGAGAGAGAGAGAGACATGGATGTGAGAGGGAAACACCTGCCTCCATTATGTGCCCTCACCGGGAATTGAACCCCCAATCTTTTGGTGCATGGGACAATGCTCCAACCAACCGAGTCACCTGGCCAGGCAGTTCCCTATTATTCTAATGGCCTCCCCTAAGACTTTTGAGAACCAAATTTAATTTTTCTGTGGAACAAGGGGAGGTGGGGGTAGGGGGCTGTATTTCCACTAGTATATTATGCTTGTGTTTCTTGCTTTAGATTGTGAAAGTGACCATGGATATCCATTTGAATGAAATGGCTGGCGACATCTTGGTTTTTCTGACTGGTGAGCATTCAGTATCAGGTTTAAGATGACTGTTTATGAGAGGGCACATGGTACCACGATAAAGTGCTGTCTTTGCTGGGAAATCTGGGTGGTACTCATGTTGCTGCAGCTTTTTATGACAATTTAAATAGTTATAGATTTTATATCTCATGTAAGATAATTCTACACTGCCATTAAAAATGCCAGTCTCATTAGTGAACATGTAAAACACACTGACCTTTTAGTAGAAAGATATTAAATGGTAAAGTATTAATGTTTTTATTAGTCTATCTCATATAGAAGTATTACCACACTAAACAGTCCTGAATCTGAATGATTAATTTTATTATTTCAAAAGATATCCTACCAGCTTCTTTCTCCTTTGAGTGGCTGGGTGATATTATATGATAGCAGTATATAAGGTGTGGAATCCATGTCTCATAGATGAGCCTTTTTTGTAGGACAAAAATCCCAGATTAATGTGATTCTTCAAGTAATAGCATCCTATTAGCAGAAATGAGTCATTTCATCACTCGCCTCCTACTGATGTCAGAAGTGAGACATTGCAACAGTCACTTTGCCATTTTAAGATTACTTAAGTATTTTGAAACACACCGAAATGCAGTATCTCCTGGACTAGAATCCCTTATATTAATGATTAACCTTACTGAATCTTCCTCAAAAACCACATTAAATAACATGAAAGGCTAGAAGATTATAAACATTTTTATTCCTTTAGAGAGTTAAATTCCTTGGAAACGGGTGTTTCTTCTATTTTTTATTTTACTGTTGAGATTTGGACAACTTATGTGTTCATCTCCTTTAGATCAAATGAGAGATTTAAAATAACTATTATGCAAAACTGATTTTAATTTAGAAGGTCTTTTTTTCACTCTTAAATTAACTTTGCTATTCAGTTGCTGATGGTGTTTTCTCCCCTCATTTCAGGTCAATTTGAAATAGAAAAAAGTTGTGAATTACTTTTTCAGATGGCAGAGTCTGTTGATTATGATTATGATGTTCAAGATACCACTCTAGATGGCTTATTAATATTGCCATGTTATGGATCTATGACAACAGGTAATTCCTCATTCGCATAGAAAATTTGACTGATTTTAAAAAACATTTTATTGAAAAATCACATATGTGCAGAAAGGTGCACACACAAGTCCTAAATGTTTATTTTCAGGTCAATGAATTTCACAAACTGTGCTCACCTTTTTTTTTTTTTTTTTTTATAAAATATGGAACGCTTCACGAATTTGCGTGTCATCCTTGCGTAGGGGCCATGCTAATCTTCTCTGTATCGTTCCAATTTTAGTATATGTGCTGCCGAAGCGAGCACTGCGCTCACCTTTGTAACTAACACCCACAACATGAAACAGAACATTAAGAGAACCAGCATCCCTTGAGAGAAGTGATTTTTTTTTTCTTTTTTCTTTTTAAAATATATTTTATTGATTTTTTACAGAGAGGAAGGGAGAGGGATAGAGAGTTAGAAACATCAATGAGAGAGAAACATCGATCAGCTGCCTCCTGCACACCCCCCACCGGGGATGTGCCCGCAACCAAGGTACATGCCCTTGACTGGAATCGAACCTGGGACCCTCAGTCCGCAGGCCGACGCTCTATCCACTGAGCCAAACCGGTTAGGGCAGAAGTGATTTTTTTCTTGAAGTCTTTTCCAAGGGTCTTCCACATGCCCCTTAGCATTATTAAGAGTGACCTACATCATCTCCCACTGGAACAAAAATATTGTTGGTAATTTTTTGAAATAAGGACTGTAATTTCTTGATTGTAGCACCATAATTCAAGCCTTATTTGCCACGGCCACAGAGCTTCTACAAATCTTACATATCCAGATATATCTGAGACTAAACACTGGGAGTTTTTATTTTTTATTTTTACTTTTTTTAGAGAGAGAGAAACATTGATTTGTTGTTCCACTTATTCATTCCTTCATTGGTTGATCCTTGTATGTGCCATGACCAGGGATCCAACCAGCAACCTTGGTGATGATGCTCTAATTAACTGAGCTACCTGGCCAGGGCAACACTGGATTTTTTAAGTGTTCACATATTAGCCTACTTTTCAAGAATGATGTAAATTCAAAGAGCGTATGCAGACTCTTATTCTGATATTGTTCATGATAAATGTTGTTAAATGAGGTTTAGAGTTTTTGTGTAAAACTATTTTATTAGAGATTTGATTTGTAAAACTAAAGGAAAATTAACTGTAGCTGCCTAGAGTTTGATTGGGATTAGCATTTAATGTAATGTAAAAAACATGTTTTTTTTATGTGTGTTTTTGTTTTTATTGAGTAGATGATTCTTATATTAATAAAAAAATTCAGGAATATATGTGTTGGTAAATAACCGTAGACCACATGCTATTATGGAAATTTCTTTTGTGATGATATTAGGCCCTTGCTCTCCATATTGAAATCTATTTTTAGATATTTACATCTTAAACGGAATTCTTAAGGTCATCATTAGATATTTAAGGTTCTTATTGTTTTCTGGGGATTTGATCTAATGACTCTTAAAATTTGCTTTAAAACTGATAAGGTAATTAAAAACAATTACGGTTGCTTTATTATTAACCATTAACTAACTATATTTTTTCATATAAAATAAATATATGTAAATATATATAAATGTATATATATGTAAATATAATATATTCTTATGTTTGCCCTTTTTTATGGAATTCTTGATCAAATTTTATTGATTTCAGAGAGGAAGGGAGAGGGAGAGAGATCGAAACATCAGTGATGAAAGAGAATCATTGATTGGCTGCCTCCTGCACACACCCTTCTGGGGATTGAGCCCGAAACCTGGGCATGTGCCCTTGACGAGAATCGAACCTGGCTGACGCTCTATCCACTCAGCCAAACCAGCTAGGGCTATTCTTTCCTTCTTATTACCACATTGAAAATAACGTTCTATATCTGCTCTTGCTTCTTGTTTCGCATCCTGAAATCCAGTTCTTATACTGTTAAAGGTTGCTAGTGACTTATTTCTCAAATCTCTACGCCATGATGTATTTTGATTTTGTGATGACAATAATAGGTCTTTGAAATGTTATCTTTTGGGATACTATTTAATTATCTAGTTCTCCTGAGCAATCTTTCTCTAAGGCTTCTGCCTTCCCACTTTCTCCAGCCTTAGTTTCATTCGTAGCTTGCTGTTTTCTTAAAAATGTGTTTTGGTGAAATTGGATCCTAGGATTCACCTTTCACTTCCCTGTGGACGATTCCTGAAAGCGCTCTCCAGTTCAGACTCACTCCTGCAGCCTAGATCTCCTGGGTCTCTTCACTTGGTTTCCTGGTCTTACGCTTGTTATTATCTAGATCCATGGTTGGCAAACTGCGGCTCGCGAGCCACATGTGGCTCTTTGGCCCCTTGAGTGTGGCTCTTCCTAAGCCTTATGAGTACCCTAATTAAGTTAATAACAATGTACCTACCTATATAGTTTAAGTTTAAAAAATGTGGCTCTCAAAAGAAATTTCAATCGTTGTACTGTTGATATTTGGCTCTGTTGACTGATGAGTTTGCCGACCACTGATCTAGATCATTCAATCCAAACAGGTGGCAACTCCTGCAGGTTTTCTTTACCCTTGTCTTATCCAGATCTCTCATTCTTTTTAGTTTTTCATTATCATTGTTAGATTTGGGATCCTTAGTTTGCCTTTCTGAGTTGTTACCATAGCCTGCTAACCGGTTTTCCCTGATTTTATTGGCCATCCTATGTGCAGTGCTGATCTTCCAACAGCACAGCTCTGATTGTGTCAGTCTCCTGTTGGGTACCTTCAGCTGTTATTCCCGACTGAATTAAAGTGCCAACTTATTAAGTTGCCATTCAGTATCCTTCCAGCATGACTGCAACCTGCTTTCAGCCTTAATTCCCAGTGCATGTGCACACAGTAAAGATGTGGGACTGGGTGTGAGTAGAGCCATTACTGAAGGGTTGTATTTATTTTAGTTTCCTTTCTGGTTCCAAGGGCACTATAAGGGCAAGCTACTGGCGATCCATTATGAGCATAATAGGTTTGTTTTTAAAAATATATTTTTATTGATTTCAGAGAAGAATGGAGAGGGAGAGATAGAAACATCAATGATGAAAGAGAATCATTGATTGGCTGCCTCCTGCATGCCCCCAACTGGGGATCGAGCCACACCCAGGCATGTGCTCTTGACTGGAATCGAACCCAGGACCCTTGAGTCCCCAGGCCGATGTTCTATCCACTGAACCAAACCAGGTAGGGCGAGCATAATAGTTTTAATTACAGCAGTTTATAACAGTGCAAAGCAGCATTCAATGGAGCTGATGAGGCACTAAGTAATGGGTGAGGTGGAATTAGACAAGATAGGGAGTGTGTCAGATTCCTGGGCCCTTAAGCTTTCTTTTTAAACCTGCTTAATACAATACAGCACTTTTTTTCTTTATTATTGCTATTTTGGGTGGTGGGGAAAGACACTGTTATGTTACTTTCTTTATTTCAGGAACAGAAAACTTGAACTGGGGAGTGAGGAGAGGGAAGAAGGGTTTCCTGCTTGTAGCCTGTAGGAAGGGGGTTCAAAAATGACCCATGTCTAAGTTTAGTGAATCAGTAAAAATTATAATGTGAATATTTTATATTTGCTTATTTCTGGGCTAGTCATGAGGGTGGCTGAGTGTTTTAAAGAGACACCTTAAAGTATGTTGTTAACTGGCAGAAAAAATTCTCATCTGTCAAGTATGAAGAGGTGCTGTGGTGTCCTTTCTGCTGCCGAGGTTACACGATCCCGTTCCCTGGGCTGAACTTCCCAACCCCACCCTTTGTGACATTCTCTCAAGCTAGAAGTGCTGGTGGGATTTTTTAAATCCTTTTCCTCCCACATCGTTTTTGGTGACTGTTTGCTATTTCCTTAACTTGAACGTCTCCTTTCTCTCTTCTCCCCTCTCACTTGCTGAAATCCTGCTCTTTTGTTTCACCAACTCCATAAAAATTTTCCCCCATTTCCCTCCTCACAACTTGCTGTGATCTCTTCTTCATTTTGAACCTCATGCTTTGCTGTACCTCTTGTGGCACTTAACACATTCTACCTCGTGTTGTGGTTGTCTCATCCTCTCGAAGAGATTGTGAACCTTGTGAAGGCAAGTACAATATTTTGAAAAAGTCCTCATTAAATACTTGTTAGACTGAGTTCCAGATTTTTTACTTTCTGCAGGACTTTCAACAAATGCTATGACTAGAACCTTTTTCTTGTTTCTCTCAAAACTCTTTGTTCTTCTGACTTCCTTCTTTGGTTCGGGGTATTGTAGTTTCTCAGATTTGTCATGCATCTAGGGAAAGCTGAACCCCGCAAAAAGGTATGAACTGAAATATACCTGTTTTTACATGAGTGACAAATATTTGCATGGAATTAGACCATTTTAGCACTAAAAGTAATAATCGAATTCAGTGCTTCTTAGTCTCTTTTAGAGGGTAGGGTCTCAGATTCTTTTAAAAAGGTAATAAAAGTCATGGCTTGTTTCTCTAGAAAAATGCACACACATGTGCGCACACAAACACACACACTCACATACATATACTATATGGTCTTGCATAATCAGACTTCTTTATTTTACAGTAGAGGCTAAGTGATGTCCCTGATGTCACATGGTACATCTGTATTTGATAACTGGTTATTTATTCGGTAGTGGGTGATAAGACAGTATGTGTTTCCAAAATACATGAAGAAAAGGAAAGGAGTTTTACCTTGAATTAATGTCCAACATTTTAAAAGAGGAAAACTGCTTGCTTAGATTAGTACATAAATCCCCAAATAGTTCTCTTCCTGCAAAACAAAGACATTACCTCAATATGGTAGGTAACTAGAATTTGCTTTGTTTACAATAGTTTCTTTAAATGTTAAGATTAAAGGTGTAGGGGAATAAGATTAGTAAGCTTCACATAAAAACTTCTATTCTGTGTGGAACTTCCCCAAATGAGAAAATATTTTTTTGGCTTATAAAGAAATACATACTTAAAAAAATAAATCAGCAAAGTAAGAAAATTACTTAAACTTAGATTCCACTAACATGGTTAAGTACTAGTCACTATTAACATTTTGAGATATATTGTTCTGGACTTTTTCTTTATACATTTAAATATATTTTTATTGGTTTTTATTTTTATTATTTATTTATTTATTTATTTGTTAATCCTCACCCAAGGATATTTTTCCATTGATTTTTAGGGAGAGTGGAAGAGAGAGGGAAAGACAGAGAGCAACATCGATGTCAGAGAAACACATCGATTGGTTGCCTCCAACCAGGGCCAGGGCCCGAGGCACCTGCAACCAAGGTACGTGCCCTTGACGGGTTGAACTCGGGACCCTTTGTTCTGCAGGCCGACACTCTATCCACTGAGCCAAACTAGCTAGGGCTATTTATTGATTTTTTTAGAGAGAGTGGAAGGGGGAGAGAGAGAAAAACATGGATTTGTTGTTCCACTTATTTATGCATTCATTGGTTGATTCTTGTATGTGCCCTGACTAGGGATCAAACCTGTAGTCTTGGCATATTGGGAGGATGTTCTTACCAACTAAGCTACTTTGCCAGGGCACTATTTTTTAAAAATATATTTAATTTTACTTTAATTTACTTGAAGGAATTATTAAACTTCAAGTTAATCTTTACCACATGAGATAATATTTTATAAAAGTTTGCTTTAAAGTTTAGCAAGATGAAAAATATTAAGCTGAAGTTAGTATCTTCTTTCAGAACATATTTGATTAGAGATCTTACCTGTTTACTTATCTGATGAGGACTTAAATACTTTTACTCCTCTATATCCTCTTCTAATTTTTGTTATTATATTATTCCGATGTATTTAGTGTTTACCATCAATTTTTTTTTTAATATATTTTATTGATTTTTTACAGAGAGGAAGGGAGAGAGATAGAGAGCTAGAAACATCGATGAGAGAGAAACATCGATCAGCTGCCTCCTGCACATCTTCCACTGGGGATGTGCCCACAACCCAGGTACATGCCCTTGACTGGAATCGAACCTGGGACCTTTCAGTCCGCAGGCCGACGCTCTATCCACTGAGCCAAACCGGTTTCAGCCATCAATTTTTTTTTAAACTGTTTTTTTTTTTCATTCCTACGTTACTTTTGGTTAACTTTAGATTGGCTTACTTTTTTAAAATAGAAGGGCTCTTGAGTGTTTTTTTTTTTTTTTAAATAATTATTTTTGTTTATTTCAGGGAGGAAAGGAGAAGGAGAGGGATAGAAACATCAGTGATGAGAGAGAATCATTGATCAGCTGCCTCCTGCACACCCCACACTGGGGATCAAGCCCACAACCTTGGCATGTACTCTGATCAGGAATTGAATCATGACCTCCTGGTTCATAGGTCAATGCTCAACCACTGAGCCATGCCAGCTGGGCTTGAGTACTATTTTGTTGTTGCTCTTTTATGTTTGAGAATGTCTGGCTTTTGCCTTTTTACTTGAAGTACATCTTGGCTGGGTTTTATGTTCTTGGGTCATACTTTCTTTTCCTTAGAAATTGGTAGACATTGTCCAGTTGTCTTCTGGCATTGAATGTTGCTGTGGAGGCGTCTGAGGCCAGCCTGATTTTTTTCCCCTTCCCTGTAAGTGATTTGCTTTTTCTGTCGGATTGCCTGAAAATTTTAATCTTTATCCTTAAAGGCCAAATCCATCTTTCTATTTAATTTACACCCAGGCCTCTTAAGGCCAGGGAAGTGCCAGGAACTCAGAAATACTCTCTTGTTAACTCTCAAGTCTGATTCATTTTTCTCTCTCTTTAGACTAGATTCCTGTCCTTCACTTTCTTTAGTCGTTTTCCTATGACAAGTTTATTTTTCCTCTTTGCAAGAGACTAGCCTAATCAAATTGAGCGTCTCTTGGACCTTCTTCCAAATTCATAGGAGAATCAGATTGGCCCAACTTGGGGGAGATGTTTTTATCCTTGGTGCTATAAATCAGAGCAAGTACCATCCTATAAGCATTGCTGCTGGGGCCCACCCTTCAGAGTGTGGGTAGTGGAAATGAGTGTGGTGTACTTGTTTAGAGAGGTAGTCATGAGTTGGGCAGACACTGAAAAAGTAAAAACTACTTAGCTAATCAGTCTTTAAGGCAGAGAGAGGTCCTTAATCTGTAGCCCTTAAATGGGAATTGTTTGAAAATTGTGTGTGTGTGTGTGTACATACGTGTCTTTTAATGGAGAAGAGGTACATGGTTTTAAAATATTCTCAAAGGGAGCTATGACCTACATAAAGGCGTCTGCTGTAGGGTTTATTTTAGCAATAATAAACTGAGTCCATGGATCTAGAAACCTTAACAGTGAAAGGTGAGGAAAAATAGTTTTGCTATTATATTTTGAATTCAAGATAATTAAAGAGGTGAAGAGAATATAACTTTCAATGGAAAAAAGTTACTTTTTCAAAACTTGAGTTTGACAAATGCATGTTATAAATTAGTATTTTCCTTTTACATATGTTTTAGATCAACAGAGGAGAATATTTTTGCCACCTCCACCTGGAATTAGAAAATGTGTCGTATCCACTAATATTTCTGCAACATCTTTGACAATAGATGGAATCAGGTACAACTTTAAAAAATTCTTTTAAAGCCAAGAAAGCCACTTAGCTAATCATAAAACATTGAGTTTGCTTCTCTGTGCCCTCCACTAATTCCCTTCTCACCTTAATTTGAAGTCACCTGTCATTTTTGTAATTATTGATTGCAATAAATAGGGAAATGGAGTAGGAAGTGCATATAATATTTCTGTTCACTCTTTTTCTTTTTCTTTTATTAAGTATATTTTTTATTGATTTCAGAGAGGAAGGGAGAGGGAGAGAGAAATAGAAGCATCAATGATGAGAAGGAATCATTGATCGGCTGCCCCATGCACATCCCCTACTAAGGATCGAGCCCACATGTGCCCCAGGCATGTGCCCCAACTGGGAATCGAACCATGACCTTCTGGTTCATGGATTGATGATAACCACTAAACCACAGCGGCTGGGCTCAATTTCGTATAACATAAAATTAACATTTAACACTGAACAATTAAGTAGTATTTAGTACATTTACAACATTGTGTAACCACCAACTCTATTTAGTTTTTAAAAAATTTAAATTATTATTTTATTGATTTCAGAGAGGAAGGGAGAGGGAGAGAGATAGAAACATCAATGATATGAGAGAATCATTGATCAGCTGATCAATGATGAGAGAGAATCATTGATTGGCTGCCTTCTGCATGCCCACCACTGGGATTGAGTCCAAACCCAGGCATGTGCCCTTGACTGGAATCGAACCCAGGATTCTTCAGTCTGCAGGCCAACACTCTATCCACTGAGCCAAACAAGCGAGGGCAACTCTGTCTAGTTTTAAAACATTTTTATCACCCCAAAATAAAATCCTGTACACTTTAAGCAGTAACTCAGAATATGATATATATGCCATTATATGTATACTAGAGGCCCGGTGCACGGATTCGTGCACTGGTGGCATCCCTTGGGCTGGCCTGTGCCCTCTCACAATCCGGGACCCCCTGGGAGATGTCAGACTGTTGATTTCAGCCCTATCCCCGCAGGCCAAGCTGAGGGACCCCACCGGTGCACAGATCTGTGCACCGGGTCTCTAGTATGCACATAAGATCTTTGGTTAATCTCTTCTCACCCTCCCCCCTTACCTCTGAGATTCATCAGTCTGTTCCATGTTTTCATTCCTGTGCGTTGAGCATCTGCCCCCTGGTGGTCAGTGCACAACATAGCTACCAGTCGAACAGTCACTTAGGCTTTTATATATACAGATACCATAATTTATGCATCTATTCATTTCTTAATGGGCCATGGACATTTAAGTTTTTTTCCACCTTTTGGTTCTTACAAATAGTGCTGCTATGAACATACATCTACAAGTGTGTGTTGAGTCCTGTTTTCAGTTCTTTGGGGTGCTTACTTAGGAATGGATTTCTGGGTCACATGGTAATTCTGTATTTAACATTTTGAGGAACCTTCAAACCTTTTTCCACATTACATTGGCTGAACCATTTTACATTTCCAGCAGGAATGTATGAAGCTCCAATTTCTTGACTTTCAAGTTTTACAGTTAACATTAAAGTCATCATGTAGTTGTTAGTTTGATGAAAAAGGAGATTCCATAGTGGTTGAAAATTAACAACTCTTTCCTTATTTTCTAGAAACTTAACTTGTTTTCATTCTTCTTAGGTATGTGGTAGATGGTGGCTTTGTGAAGCAGTTAAATCACAATCCCAGATTAGGCTTGGACATCCTGGAGGTGGTTCCAATTTCAAAGTAAGTCTCTGTGTCACGCCTTTTTGTTCAAAGAACCATGGATTAGATCATTTCTAGTTGGTTCAGGGTGGGAGGTGAATTGCTTAGGAAACACAGAACATTATTTTTTTAATCTTTATTGTTGAAAGTATTACATGTGTCCCCCATCTTCCCTCCATTGTCTCCTTCTAGCCTGCCCCTACCCCCCGCACCTGGCCTTCACCACCCTATTGTTTGTGTCCATATGCATACAAGTTCTTTGGTTGATCTCTTCCCACCCACCTACCTCCGCCTTCCCTCTGAGATTTGACAGTCTGTTCCTTTCCTCTATGTCTCTGGATCTATTTTGTTCATCAGTTTATTTTGTTCATTAGATTCCACATGAGTAAGATACTTGTCTTTCTCTGACTGGCTTGTTTTGCTTAGCATAATACTCTCCAGGTTCCTCCATGCTGAACATTTTGGGGACTTTTGTTTTTCTTTCTTCTAAAGGAGTGAGGCGTTACAGCGAAGTGGTCGAGCTGGTAGGACTTCCTCAGGAAAATGCTTTCGGATCTATAGTAAAGATTTTTGGAACCAGTGTATGCCCGACCATGTGATCCCTGAGATTAAGAGAACTAGTTTGACATCTGTAGTTTTGACCTTAAAGTGCCTTGCCATACACGATGTTATAAGGTATGTAGACAGCTTTTAAAGAAAGGAAAATGTGTTAGGGTGGAGCCTGGTTAATTCTCAGAAATTCTTTTGAAGTATTTGGCTCAGATATCCCTATATCTCAAGGTTTAAGTAAACCCATACAAAAGGCTTCTTTATGATGCTTTACTAGACTTTGACCCCTTGCTCATATTTGTTTTAAAATATGTTTTTATTGATTTCAGAGAGGACGGGAGAGGGAGAGAGATAGAAACATCAATGATGAGAGAGAATCATTGATCGGCTGCCTTTTGCACACCACCTACTGGGGATTGAACCTGCAACCCAGGCATGTGCTCTGACTGGAATTGAACCATGATCTCCTTGTTTATAGCTCAACATTCAACCACTGAGCCATGCCAGGCAGGCCCTTGCTCATATTTTAACCTTGGTTTAATGGTGTGCCTCATGCTGATATTATTTGGGTCATTTAGTGACCACTGTTTATCTGTTATGAAAGGTATATAATGATCATAATTCCAGATAAAATGGTGGGGTTTTTTTTGTAGCATCTTTGGTAGAGCCAGCTTTGTGTACTATGCACTGTGAGAAACGGTAATACTCGAGTAGTTTTTTGCTTTCACTAAGCTTAAGTTACATTGGAGAAACAAGATTGTATAATCAAGTAACTATTGCTCCTGTTTAAAAGTATGTATATATATATATTCATGCTGGGTTATATGCCACTGTTATCCTTTGTGAATATTATTAATTCTCCTATGTTTATTAATGGTATTGTGGTTATGTAAGAGAATGTCCTTATTTTCAGGGGATGCATGCTGAGTATTTTGGGGATGAATAAGCATTGTATTTGCAACTTGCCTTAAGAGTTCAGGAGAAATTAAGTAATTGGTACATACAGATACATAAAGCAAATATGGTAAAATTAATTGAACATACTTGCCTTTTTATCAAAAGCCATTTTGAAGTACTGTTAAACATTCTGTAATTTTTGGCCACTTTCAGTGAATTTTTCTCCATTGTTTTATAAACTTATAATAAAATTGTGGACTAAAGAACAGAATAGAGTTGACATTGGGCTGTGAAGAATGGGGCAGGATTCAGATAAGAGGAATGGCGAGGGTGTTCCAGCTAAGGAGATCAAAAACAGGTGCTTCTCGAATTAATCAAAGACTATGATTCAGAAAAACTTATTTCCTCTTTTGCTGAATGCTGATCATGATCATAGGATGCCTTAAAAAAAAGAAGAGAGAGAGTATTTGAAAAATAGGAGCGCTAAAACCTTTTAAAGGAAGTTTCAAGTCTGTATAAAATCGTACTGTGTTCAAGAAATGGGATCTCATTTTATATCTCATGTAAACACAGGTTTCCTTATTTGGACCCACCTAATGAGAGACTTATTTTGGAAGCCCTTAAACAACTTTATCAGTGTGATGCTATTGACAGGTAAAGAGACAACCAAACAAAACCCCTCCCCCAAAACCCGACCACAACAGATGTTAATTTCTTTTTAAAATAGGCTTCTTAATACTTTCCTTATAAGTATAAAATAATTTGTTTGAATTGAGTGGATTGTTTTACCTGAAATTAGAAATTGTCTTCAGCCTTTTTTCACCACAATTTTGAATTTACAAATTATACCATAAAATGAATTTTGTTCAATATTAGTACTATTTAACAAGTAATTTCTGAGTACTATTTCAGTGCCAGGCATTATGCTGGGTATATCAAAATGATAAGAGAGCCAGAATCCTTGTTCTCATGATTGTGTGATGGGGAAGGATTTGGTAATTATCACTCTTTCATTACTTCCATTACTTCAAGGACATCCTCTGTGTTTCCATAGCATTTTGTGTCTGTTATACTACTTTATTTTGCATCATTGTTTAGGATTTTGAATGTACTGGCCCTTGACAACAAGGAATTTATTATCTTGATGTTTTTCTTATCTATGACTACAGTGTATCATGTTTCTTAAATTGAATTTATGGGGGTGATTGAAGGTAATCTAAATTATATCTGATTTATTCTGAATGATGAGCATTTCATTTGTACTCTCCCAAAATAGAAAGACATAATAACTTTTTTTTCTATTAAGGAATGGCCATGTGACCAGATTGGGTTTGTCTATGGTAGAATTTCCTCTCCCTCCACATCTGACATGTGCAGTAATAAAGGCTGCTTCTCTGGACTGTGAAGATCTACTACTTCCAATAGCAGCAATGTTGTCTGTGGAAAATGTCTTCATTAGACCTGGTAAGAAGTTTATTGAAGAGGTTTACTTTTAATTAATAGGCTTTAACCCTAGCCAAGTAGCTCCGTTGGTTAGAGTGTTGTCCCAATACACCAAGGTTTGATCCCCAGTCAAGGCACATATAAGAATTGACCAATTAATGCATAAATAAGTGAAACAACAAATCTATGTTTCTCTCTCTCTCTCTCTCTCTCTCTCTCTCCCCTTCCCTCCCTCTCCTTCCCTCCCTTCTCTCTCTCTAAAAATGAAAGAACAATTAATAGACTTTATTTTTTACAACAGTTTTAGGTTTATAGAAAAATTGAAGGAAAGTACAGATACAGATACAGTTTCTCCTATTAACATCTTTCATTATTCTGGTGCATTTGTTAAAATTGATGAGCCAATATTGATACATTATTATTAAAGGGATCACTGTGCTATATGGTCTGTGGGTTTTGACAAATCTGTAATGATACCTACCCACCATTACGGTATTATACAGAGTAGTTTCATTGCCCTAGTTATTTCCTGTGCTCCACCTATTCATCCCTGCATCCCTTCCCCCAAACCCCTTACAACCATGAATGTTTTTACTGTCTCTTTAACTTGGCTTCTTTAACTTAGCAATGTACATTTAAGGTTTCTCCATATCTTTTTGTGGCATGAGAGCTCATTTCTTTTTATTGCTGAATAATATTCCATTGTATGGAATTTGTTTATTCATTCACCTATTGAAGGGCATCTTGGTTGCTTTCAATTATGAGTAAAACTGCTATAAACATCTATGTGCAGGTTTTTGTGTAGACAGAGGTTTTTAATTCATTGCTGAATAGTGTAAGAATATGTTTAGATTTGTAAGAAACTGCCAAACTGTTTTCCAGACCTTATAAAGGTCTGCACTATTTTGCATTCCTACCAGCAATGAGTCTGAGAATTTCTGTTGCTCCACAACCTCACCAGTATTTGATGTTACTGGTGTTTTGGATTTTGATCATCTTAATGATCTTAATAGGTGTGTAGTGGTATCTCACTGTTGTTTTAATTTGTTGCCTCATGGTGACATGATGTTAACCATCTTTTTATATGCTTACTAGAGGCCTGGTGCACGAATTCGTGCACGGGTGGGGTCCCTCTGGGTGGCCTGCAGGGATCAGGCCGAAACCCGTAGTCCAATGCCGCCTGCAGCTCCTACCTGCCGCTCCCACTCATCCCGGCCCCACTGTGCCTACCACTGGCTTGCCCAATCAGCCCCAATCAGGAGAGGCTCACGCTGCTGCAGCAGCGCTCACCAGCCATGAGCCCTGCATCTGGTACCCTCCCTGCGGGATCGGGCTGAAACCAGCTCTCCAACATCCCCTGAGGGGTCCTGGATTGTGAGAGGGCACAGGCCAGGCTGAGGGACCACACCGGTGCACGATCGGGCCGGGGACGGACTGCAGGAGGGGCCCAGGGTGTGTCTGGCCCATCTTGCTCAGTCCCGATCGGGCTCAGTCCCGGTCGGCCGGACCCCAGCAGCAAGCTAACCTACCTGTCAGAGCATCTGCCCCCTGGTGGTCATTGCACGTCATAGCGACTGGTCGACCAGTTGATTGTCTGCCCCCTAATGTTCAGTGCATGTCTCATAGTGAGCGGTTGAGCAGCCTTAGCATATCATTAGCATATTATGCTTTCATTGGTTGTTCTGTCATTCAATCTATTTGCATATTACCCTTTTATTATATAGGATTTGCCATGTATAGTCTTCTTTGGTGTCTGTTCTGGTCTTTTTAAATTGGGTTCTCTTATTGTTGAGGCTTTAAAAATTTTTTTGATTGATTTTAGAGAGAGAAAGAGGAGGGAGAGAGAAAAACACATTGATTTGTTGTTCCATTTATTTATGCATTCATTGGTTGATTCATGTATGTGACCTGAGCAGGGATCAAACCCACAACCTTGGTGTATCAGGCTGATGCTCTAACCAACTGAGCTACCTGGCCAGGGTGCCTCTTATTGTTGAGTTTTATATTTGTACTAGAGGCCCAGTGCACGAATTTGTGCACCAGTGGGGTCCCTTGGCCTGGCCTGCGGGATCGGTTTAAAACCAGCTCTCTTTGTGCACCAGTGGGGTCCCTTGGCCTGGCCTGCGGGATCAGGTTAAAACCAGCTCTCTGACATCCACCGAGGGGTCCCAGATTGCAAGAGGGCACAGGCCAGGCCAAGGGACCCCACTGGTGCACAATTGGGGCCTGGGAGGAACGTGGGAGGTTGGCCAGCCCAGGAGGGACCATGGGAGGGCTCCAGAGCTTGTCTGGCCAGTCTTGCTCAGTCCCGATCGGCTGGATCCCAGCAGCAAGCTAACCTACCAGTCGACTGTCTGCTCCCTGGTGGTCATTGCATATCATAGCGAGCAGTTGAGTGACCTTAGCATATCATTAGCATATTACACTTTGATTGGTTGAACGGATGACCAGAAGATGGGACACTTAGCATATTAGGCTTTTATTATATAGGATATTTAGGATAACTGTGCTTTATCAGATATGTTTTTTGCAAATATTTCTCCCAGTCTGTGGCTTGTCATCTTGTTTTCTTGACATTAGCTTTTGCTGAGCGGAATTTTTTAATATTAATGATATTCAGCTGATGAATTATTTCTTGCATGGGGTTATGCCTTTGGTGTTTTATCTAAAAAGTCATCACCATACCTAAGGTCATCTAGATTTTCTCCTATGTTATCTTCTGGGAGTTGGATGTCCATTTGTTCCAGCTCCATTTGTTCAAAAGACTATCTTTTCTCCCTTAAAATGCTTCTGCTCCTTTGTTAAAGATCATTTGCTTGTATTTGTGTGGGTCAGTTTCTGACTTTACTCTTTCCCTGTTTTGGCTATACTGAGTCTTTTCCCTTTGTATATAAACTTTAAAATCAGGTTGTTGATATTCACAAAATAACTTGCTAGGACTTTAATTGGGATGTATTGAATCTATAGATCAAGTTGGAAAAAACTGACATCTTGACAGTATTGTCTCCCTATCCGTGTACATGGAATATTTCTCCATTTATTTAGATCTCCAGTATTTCAGAGCATTTATTTATTTATTTTTATTATTATTTAAAAATTTATATTGCATTTATAGGGGTGACTTTGGTTAATAAAATTACATGAGTTTCAAGTGTACAATTCTATAATATATCATCTGTTTATTGTATTGTGTGTTTACTGTCACTGAAAAAAATGCTTTTATTGATTTTAGAGAGAGAGGAAGGGAGAGGGAGAGAGATAGAGATAGAAACATCAGTGACAGAGAAACATTGATTGGCTGCCTCCTGTACTCCCCCTACTGGGGATTGTGTCTGCAGCCCAGGCATGTGCTCTGACCAGAATCGAACCAAGGACTTCTTGGCGCATGAGTCGATGCTCAACCACTGAGCCACATGGGCTGGGCTCACTGACCACTTTTTGATGACCATATACCTAGCTCTGTAGGACATGAAACGGAGGACAAATGGTTTTTTTCATTTTGTTATCCTTTAACTTAGTTGTTTAAAATAGGGAGTATGTGATGTTCCTGGTGGGGCGAGTTAATTTCCTTTCATTGGTAAGGGAAGATAGTATGGTGAACCTTTGCCCTGTTGTATAGTACATTAGTAATATATTAACCTTTTTTTCCCAAGCATCAAAAGAAGGTAGTTTAGCCCTTGTACCCTCAGAGATTGTTTTGAGGTTTTCATGTCTTTAAACTTCTGCTTGTTCTTTTCTTGGTGTGTCATCATGGGACACAGCTTAGTTTGTCACATGTCAGCTTTGCTTTCTTCTGGTGGGGTCACAGTTTTTCATTTGTAAAACTAGGGATTTGGATTAAGGTGATCCAATTCTAATAGTCTTGTAAGGCCAGAAAAAGGAAACGTTTTTCCTTGTTGGGATATCCTATATAATAAAAGTCTAATATGCAATTTTCCCCCTCCACCGGAGTTCAACTGCTCGCTATGACGTGCGCTGACCACCAGGGGGTGGCGAGGAACAAGGCAGATGTCGGCTACACCATGCGACCTCTTGGTGGCTACCTGGGGGCGGGGGTGATGGAGACAGAGGTGCAGTGAGAATGTGGTGGGTCCACCGACCTCACTCTAACTCCCCCTGCTAACCTCCCCCGCGCTCAGGTGCCAGGCACCCGCGAGGAGCCTGCCCTGCACCCGTGTGGTGCATCGTCTTCTGGGTGAGCTGGGCCACAGCTGCTGGGACCACAGGGACAGATCAGGCTTCCTGTGGGTTCACACAGGAGCCGGTCTGCGAGGCCGGCCGGGTTCCATGCGGTGCCACTGGGTGGCCCAGAGGCTCACACTGCACCTTGGCCTGCGGCGTCTGGCCGCGCTCACCACATCTCCACGTGGGGACCCGGGTGCTGTGACTCAGGTGGAGGGGGGCGCGCGGAGGCTCGGGGGCCCAGGTGCTGCCCAGGGCCCAGAGGTCAGCTGGGACCTGCCCTTCCACACCAGACACTCGCCTTCTATCACTGACCAGGCCTAGGGACCACACCCGTGTATGAATTTCATGCATCGGGCCTCTAGTTTAAATAGATGAAACCAGTCTGTTATTAGCCTTCTTTTTTTTTGGTAACATTTTGTAATACAATTTTGAACTTATAGAACTGTTGAAGGAATATGACAGGCCTTGGCCTGGTAACTCAGTTGGTTAGAGCATCAGCCTGATACACCAAGGTTGTGGGTTTGATCTGTGGTCAGGGCACATACAAGAATCAATCAATGAGTGCATAAATAAGTGGAACAACAAATTGATGTATCTCTCTCCCTCTTTCTCTAAAAACATCAATTAAGAAAAAAGAATATGAAACAAAGTCCTTTATACCTTTTATCTAATTTCAGCAGTTTTTAACATTTTGCTGCTGCATTTGCTTAATTATTCTTTGTATATGTATATATACATATATACTTATAAATATACATTTTCTTATTCTGAATCATTTGAAAGTAAATTGGAAAGATTGTACTCTCTTACCACAAAATATTTACTTGTATATTTACTAAGAACAAGGGTAATATCTTATTTAACCAAAGTCAAGTTATCAAAATTAGGAAATTTAACATCGATACAGTGCTATTATCTAGTCCAGAGTCCATATTTAAATTGTCCATTGTCCTTAGAATATACAAAAGTAGTTTCAGAACTAAGCTATACCATTGTGGAAGGCCACTCTATACAACTGGAGTTCAGTATTTACTTACAGGTTTTGGGGGGTGGGGGGAACCTGCTCTTCACTGTCTGCCCTGCCTGGATCCTCCTGGAGCAGAAGCTTGGGGTGGGAGGTGGTGGGAACTTCCAGTACAAAGGCTAGCAAGATGGGATCTGTGGACACACTGGTTGCCAAAAAAAATTTTTTTTAAATTCTAAAATACCTGAACAGCTTTAGGAAACTGGGAGTTGTGGGAGCTACCACTCAGCCACTGAACTCAGTGGAACAGATCTTCTACACTACAGAGCTGTAAGGAAATGGGGGTCTGCATTGGCATTAGCTGTTCCCCCGTTCATTAGCTGTTCAGCTGGATCCTCTGTACAGAGAAGAAACGGGGTGAGAGAAATGGTACCACTTTAAGGCTGCCAAGCCCTCAGAATTAGTTCTTCACACAAAGTTGTTGGGGGGATCACTATATTAGCTATTCGGATGCGATACTTCCAAATGTTCTTGCTGAATTCCACAGATTCAGTCAATCTCCAGAGACATGGATAATTTGACTAGTTTAATTGATGTTTCTCTGGGAGGGAGGTTCTGCCTAACTCTTCACACCACCATTTCCAACATATTATATAGTTAAAAATTCAAACACTACAAAAGAAATGACGTGAAAAGTAAGTCTTCCTCTCCTAAACATGTCCCAGGTCTGATTCCTAAAGGCAATGACTACTACCAGTTTCTTATTCAAATGTAAAGTAATGTACACATATATGACCTAGTCTTAATTTTTAAACCTGAAATTTCAAGATCTTGAGCTGCTGCAGAAAGCATCTTCCGTTTTTGAGCATGTGACTTGCTGACTCTTGTTATATTCAAAGTGTGTATTGCCTTTCCAGCTGCTTTCTAAGAGCATTTATAGTCTTTAAAGGTTAACACGTTAAGCACCCAGTCAGTCACGGGTGACTGACACTATACTTTCCGTCCGGAAGACAAAACAGGCTGGGCGCTTAACATGTTAAGCAACCCTTTCTGGCTTGGTTCTTAGTCATCATAGATTACCTAATTTATTACATACCTATTGGTAAAACTGGCTAGTTTTCTTAGATCTGACATTGAATAAAGATTTTAAATATCAAAATGATGATATTGTCAACATTTTTAGTAACCTTTTTTTTTTTTTTGCTGTAGTAAACTGTATTACAGTGTCTGCTATTATATATATTGCTTTAGAAATCAGACAGTGGAGAGAGGGCTTTTAGGTGGTGAATAGCTTATTGGTGGTAAACAACTTAACCTTAAAATAGAACAAATTTAAAATAACATTGGGTTGGTTTTAAAGTTTTTATTTTAATTGTGATATTTTTAGAAATAAAGGGTACTTTATTTGTATGTGATACTTACAGCCTTATTTCCCCACTTCATCTCTGAGGACTGTTGTTGAAACCCTTTCTGTGTAATAGTTTTGTTTTCTGATTTATAGCTATGTAGAAAAATATTGAATTATCTTCCCAAAGGGAGTTTTGCTGATATAGCCTTGTTTTGCTGCTTTAGCTTTTTATTTATAGTTTTTGCCTCAATAGCATCTACCTATTTGCATGAGATAAAACTGATCATAGAATTTCATCTGGGGAAAGATAATAAATTAAAGAAAATGACAAGTCTACTGGTTAAGTAAAGATGGATAGTCAAACTTTTGTGTAGTAGGAGGATAAACTTGCTAGACTGTACAAACTATGTGTGATACGGACTCTAACTTTACTATATCCTCTCCTATTGTCTCTAGCTGCTTTCTTCAATTGCTCCCTAGGTAACAGGTAGAAACTACATAAAGCCTGGGATGGAAGACTTTATTTACATATATATTTATATTTGTTGTTGTTAATCCTCACCCGAGGATATTTTTTCCATTGATTTTTAGAGTGGAAGGGCGGAGGGATGTGGGAGAGAGAGACAGAGAGACAGAGATAGAGATAGATAGGTAGAGAGAGAGAGAACATCTATGTGAGAGACACATCAATTGGTTGCCTCCTGCACGTGCCCTGACCGGTGATCCAATCTGAGATTCTTTGGTATGTAGGCCGGTGCTCTAACCACTGAGAACACTGCCAGGGCAGGATGGCATTTTCTTTAGTCAGATTACTTTCCTCCTAATACCAGGAACTGCTGCTATGGAGATTCATAGTGTAGTCTATACAAGTGCTGCTTCCTAGAACCAGGCAACCTGGTGCCTCTGGTAAATGTAGCTGTGATGGGTGTACTGAAGGAATAGGAATTGTGGTATGATGTGGTACAATGAAGGAAGGATCCTTGGGAAATCTGAGAAATGGAACTCTGAAGGAAAATTAGCCTGGGTGAAGTGTTATGTGGGGAACTTGGGCAGTGATAGAGCACATCAGTCCCAAGTGCGATCCAGTCAGTCAATAACAGATAAGTCTCAAAAATGAAATATTGAGCAAAAGAAACACGACACATAAAGTATATTTATACAAAGTTTAAAAACAGGCCAAAACCTTCTTTGGGGTTAGAAGGACATGTTACCTTTGTGGAGGGGTACAGGTTGTTATTAGAAAAAGGGCAAAAAGAGGGCTTCTGGGGTATTGGTGATTCTGTGTGTTGATCGAGGTATTGAGTAGTACATTAGTGTGGTATGTTTGTGAACATTCATTGAGCTGTACACTTATGACCTGTGTAGTTTTCTGAATGCATGTTATACCTCAATATGAAGTTAAAAAAGAAAAGTAAAAAGATTGTAGTAGTTTAGTTCTGCATATTTGACCTTTCTGTCTAATTGTCCATAATTGTGAATTGAATAAATAAGGATTGGTTAAATTGTGTTATGTTTCTTATATTTCTGGGGCATACAAGGTGGCTGTTTTTGAGAATGAATAATTCCCTCTGCACTGACATGAAGCCGTTATTAAATAAATAAAGGAAGTTTCAGAACATATATCCTATTTATGTTAAAATAAATCACTATATACATATCCTTGTATATGCATAGAAAATATCTTGAAGACACACATTAAATAATTAACAGTGGTTAGCCTTGAGGATTGATTTGTGGGTAATGTGACAAAATGGAGAACCTTGAACTTTCATGTAATTTTTTTTACTGTGAGCATGGGTTACTCTTATGATAAAAAGTGAATTAAAAAATAAATACGTGTATTAAATACTATTTTAAAGGCAAATGGATTGGGAGAAGTAATGTTGCTATATCTGATAACATCTCCAAAGTGTGGTTAAAAGAGAAAGAGGAGTTGTGGGAGTAATTAGAGCCCCCTCGAAAAGGTAATATAGATCTACCTTACTCCACCCCAGAGGGTGAGACACATTTTAATGAGCTTGAATAAACAAAGTGAATGTAGACACTTGATATAAAATGGAACTAAATTGCCTCTGCAACTGTCTTTTAGTTGATCCAGAGTATCAGAAGGAAGCGGAACAGAGACATCGAGAACTGGCAGCTAAAGCTGGAGGATTTAATGACTTTGCAACTTTAGCTGTCATTTTTGAGCAGTGCAAATCAAGGTATGTGAGTTGTCTGTACTGGAAATTGTCAGTTTAAAATATAGCTCCAATATGTACTTACTATGTGACTTTAGACCAGTGGTTCTCAACCTTCTGGCCCTTTAAATACAGTTCCTCATGTTGTGACCCAACCATAAAATTATTTTCGTTGCTACTTCATAACTGTAATGTTGCTACTGTTATGAATCGTAATGTAAATATCTGATATGCAGGATGGTCTTAGGCGACCCCTGTGAAAGGGTCGTTCGATCGCCAAAGGGGTCGCGACCCACAGGTTGAGAACCACTGCTTTAGACAGTTAGGTTTGGTCAGGATGATATTGACCTTCAGGTATTTTTGTGAACATTAGTGAGATTCTTCTATGTCAGGTGACTGTTACTTAGTAAGCATTTATTATATAACTAGAGGCCCAGTGCACTGGGGGGGATCCCTCAGCCTGGATATGCCCTCTCGCAGTCCAGGACCCCTCGGGGGATGTCCACCTGCCAGCTTAGGCCCGCTTTCCAGGGGATTGGGCCTAAGCTGGCAGTCTGACATCCCTCTGGCAGCCTGGGAGCCCTCAGGGGAGCGAGCCTAAGCCGTTAGACATCGTTAGTGCTGTGGCAGAAGCAGGAGAGGCTCCCACCACCGCCACTGTGCTGGCCAGCCATGAGCTGGCTTCTGGCTGAGCGGAGCTCCCCCTGTGGAAGCACACTGACCACCAGGGGGCAGCTCCTGTGTTGAGCGTCTGCCCCTGGTGGTCAGTGCGCATCATAGCGACCGGTCATTCTGCTGTTAGAGTCAATTTGCATATTACCCTTTTATTATATAGGATATTAGTGTGTTTTTTCTCTCCCTGAACCTTTCCTGAAAATGACCTTATAGAATTTTGGTTCTATATAAGTAGCTTAGATGAGAAAAAGATTGGCTATTTGTTAGAGCATATGTGTATAAAATATCCATTTACAAAGAATTTTTAATTCACTCAGAGGCACCCACATTTAATTTTTTTTTCAAATTCCTTAAAGTGCTTTTTCTTTCTTTCTTTTCTTTTTTTAGAAAAAGAGGGAGGGAGAGAGGTGTAGAGAGATAGAAACATCGATGAGAGAGGAATATCATCGATTGGCTGCCTCCTGCACAGCCCACACTGGGGATTGAGCCTACAACTGAGATACATGCCCTTGACCAGAATCAAACCCGGGACCCTTCAGTCCACAGGCCGACACTCTATCCACTGAGCCAAACTGGCTAGGACTAAAGTGCTTTTTCAGTAATTAGATATATCTCATAAAAGAGCTGACAGTTGCTTTTGGGTTTCTAGTTTTGTAATAGAAATGAGGATGTTAGACTGTCTTTCACTTATAGAAGATATTTTCAAGATACCGTTATTTAGCCCTGGCCAGGTGGCTCAGTTGGTTGGAGCATCATCCTGCACACCAAAAGATACCGTTATTTTTGTTTTTCAGTGGAGCTCCAGCTTCCTGGTGCCAAAAACATTGGATTCACTGGAGGTGCTTATTTTCTGCATTTCGTGTTGAAGCTCAACTTCGAGACCTAATCAGGAAGCTTAAACAGGTGATTGCTTTTTTTCTTGAGTAGCATTTGGACAAGACCCTCTGAGTTACCAAAACCATATAAATTATGAGATGTTCTAGTCTGGCTTGTAGTAACAGGCGCCATTCCTAACCCTGTGTGAGCACCAAGCATTGTAACCTCTTATCCTTCTAGGAGGTCCTTTACCTGGCCTTGGTTAGTTTCCTCACATTCATGTGCTAATCAGCACTCAGCTGAACACAGATCTCTGGAGTTCTCTATAAAGGTCTCTTCTCTCCTGAACTCTGCCTGTGAACTCCAGTCGTTTTGGTCTTCCTGTATTCTCAGCTCTGTCTCTTTAACCCAGCGAGTTTTCCGGATTCCACTTGGGTTTTTCCTTCTCTGCACCTTGATCCAGAAGCTCTTTCAAGGCTGACAATGCTGGGGTGGTTGTTGGGTTTACTTAATTTATTTCCCTTTATTTTATTTTTAATGATTTGTTGGTGACATTGGTAAGTAAAATTATATCTTGTTGTATTGCTCCCTTTATCTTATGAACTATCCTTCTTTGTCTCTTACTATATCCTTCGTTTTAAAGTCTGTTTGGTCACATATTAAGTATTGCTATCCCAGGTGTTTTTTTTCATTTTCATTTGCAAGAAATATCTTTACCATCCTTTTACTTTTATTCTGTATATTTTGTTCTGAGGTGGGTCTCTTGTAGACAGCATATATATGGGTCTTGTTTTCTTATCCATTCAGCTACCCTATGTTTTTTGATTGGAGCATTTAAGCCATTTACATTTAATTAAAGTGATTATTGGAAGGTATGTATTTATTGCCATTTTATTCTTTAACATTTTTTTTTAAGTCTTCACCCAAGGATATGTGTGTGTGTGTGTGTGTGTGTGTGTGTGTGTGTGTTAATTGATTTTAGAGAGAGGGGGGTGGGGGGGAGAGAGAGAAACCTTAATGTGAGAGAGAAACATCAATCAGTTTCCTCCTGTATATACCCCAACCTGGGATCAAACTCAAAACCTAAGTATGTGCCCTGACTGGGAATCAAATTTGCAACCTTGTGGCGTATGGGACAATGCTCCAACTAACAGAGCCACCCAGCCAGGGCCTTTTAACATTTCTTCTAATACTGGTTTGGTGGTAACGAATTCTTTTAGCTTTTGTTGTTGTTGCTTTTTCTGGGAAGCTTGTTATTTATCCTTCAATTTTAAATGATAGTCTTGTTGGGAAAAATAGTCTTAGTTGTAGGCCCTTGTTTTTCATCACTTTGAATATTTCATGCCAGTCCCTTCTGGCCTGAAATGTTTCTCTTGAGAAATTAGCTGACAGTCTTATGGGAGCTCCCTTGTAGGTAACTGACTTTCTCTTGCTGCTTTTAAGATTCTCTCTTTGTCTTTAAACTTTGCCATTTTAATTATGACGTGTCTTGGTATGGGCCCATTTGGGTTCATCTTTTTTGAGACTCTTCCTTTATTTCTTGGAGATCATTATTCCTTATCACTTGGTATATGTACAGTATTTTGAAAGTCCCTATTTTGGTTGTTTCAAGCAGAAGAGTAAATCTGGTCCCTCTTACTCCATATTGGCCAGAAACAGAATTTTTAGAAATGTGGATTTTTCAAAATAAAATAATATTTTAAATTGTTCTATGAGATTTACCATTGTGTGTGTGTGTGTGTGTATATATATGTCTGTGTGAATATGTGTGTGTGTATATATGTGTGTGTGTGTGTGTGTGTGTGTGTGTATATATATATATATTCTATATTCTTTCTATAGCAAAGTGATTTTCCAAGAGAGACCTTTGAAGGCCCTAAACATGAAGTACTACGAAGATGTCTTTGTGCAGGCTATTTCAAAAATGTAGCTCGAAGGTAAGCAATATGAGCTTGGGAGATGGGTAAAGAAGTGCTAGTATATTTGACTACAATATTGAACTATTTAATATTAAAGATTGATGATTTGATTTAAGCTCTGTGATTATGATCAGCTATTACAGTGACCCTTTTCATAATTGTGACTTGTGCAGGGAAAGCTGCAGTGGCTCAGAGTGGGATACTGGAACTCGAGTGGGGCAGTAGGGGAGTCTGAAGGACAGCTGTCCAGCATGGGTATCAGTGCCTTAGCAGAGTGACAAGGCTTTTTTTTACAGAGGCGTTGCTCTGTGTGGGGTGTGAAAGCCAAAAGTTTGAGGATGACATCCCTAAAGGGTAGGTTGGTGTGGAGTGCGAGGGCTTGAGCAGGATGGAGAAAGCACTCACATGGGAATTTTTCAGTATTGAGTGTTAGAGTGAGGAGGGCATTTTTGTAAGGAAAGGGATAACAGTGTTGGTGATGGGAGATTCATTGTATACAGAGAAATTGAGCACATAAATATATTAATAATGGTGAAAGGAGTTGGAAGTACTGAAAGGGGGAAAATGAGAATGAGCTCTGTAGTGTTGAGTTGGATCTTCAGGATATCATTGTGAACTTTTGTTTTTTAAAATAGCTGGATGGATAGATAGGGTAATAAAAATGGATGTTACTGTGAATATATATAAAACTTGTATTTGTATGCATGTAAATACTTATATACATATGTACCCTATCTCTGAGATGGACTGGGAGCAATGACACCATAATGCCCAGATCTTGACTTGGAAAAACCACCTGTTACATGATGGACTTGCACCTCTATGGAGAAATAGGGCCAGGAGAGTACAAGATGAGCCTAGAACATCTTATTTTGCCAGTGAGCAAAGAAGTGATCAGTGAAGGTTGAGGCCATGTCAGAAGTACACAGGAGCCAGCTGGAATAGGCTCCAACTGATCAAATATGGAACATTTTGAGCATCAAAACAAATAAAAGTAATGGATGATATAACCCACTGAATAAAATGTGAAGTCATGGGTCTATAGTCATATAAATTAGTAAATTAATAAATTAAAAGTTTAATGACAAATGGAATTATTTGCATAGTTGAGCATCTCTCTATAAAATTCTTATTAATTACAAAGGAAAAAGTAATTTTTCAGTGGAAAGGCCTGGCAGATACTACCGAAGTCAAACAATCAAAGTGAACATTATTATTTATGAAACAAATCAAAATCATGTTTTCCTGATAGGATATAATAAAAACACAGTGTCACTTCTGTGATATTCCTGCCAAAGATGCATAACCTGAATCTAATCATTCTGAAACAAACAAACTCACATTAATTATAACTAGCCTATAATCTTTAAAGGTGTCAGGATTATGAAGGTCAGAGAAAGACTGGGGAAGTATTCCAGAATGAAGGAGACTAACGAGACATTAAAAGTAAAAACAATCCATGATTTCTGAACTAGATCCTTTTGCTATAAATGATACTAGAACATTTGATAAAACTTCAGTGGGAGCTGAGGATTAAATGTTAGGAATATATTAGTGTTAATTCCCTGGTTTTGTTGGATGTATTATGATTATGTAGATGAACGTCCTTGGTTATAGGGAATGCAAACTCAGGTATTTGGGAATGATGGGGCATAAAGTTGGCAACTAATTCTCAAAATGGTTCAAGTAAAAAATACTTTTGTACTGTATAAATATACACTGTACTATACAGATATATAAAATAACTATAATGCTGTCTGATCTGGGTTATAATAGGAATACATATAATGTAGTATAGGAAATAAATTGTAATGACAATTGACCTAGGGCTGTTATATTGACAAGTTTTTGGAATAAGATTTATGTAAGAAAGTGTAGAAGAGGATAAGAATTTGAAATTAAGAACATGAATTAGAAAAATTCATGAAATGTTCTAATTAACAGATTTTAGGATACTGAAAATAATTTATATCTTTAAAAAGAGATATAAATAACACTGTGTTTAAGTCAGAAGACCTATGATTGGGACTTGCTTTTACCATACATTAGCTCTGTGACCTTTAGAAGGCTAGCTAACTTTTTTTGAAATCTCACTTTTGACCTTAAAGTGATTGGCTCTCAAAACTCAGGTTGTTTTGAGTCTTTATTATGAAAGTATTTTGGAAAATCTAAAGCACAAATACAATATTATTGCCCGGCCTGTTTGGCTCAGTGATTGAGCGTTGACCTATGAACCAGGAGGTCATGGTTTGATTCCCTGTCAGCACATGCCTGGGTTTCAGGCTAGATCCCCAGTGGGGGTCATGGAGGAGGCAACCAATCAAAGATTCTCTCTCATCATTGATGTCTCTGTCTCTCTCTCCCTCTCCCATCCTCTCTGAAATAAATAAAAAATGTTTTTAAAAAATACACAAATTGCCGAAACCGGTTTGGCTCAGTGGATAGAGCGTCGGCCTGCGGACTGAAGGGTCCCAGGTTCGATTCCGGTCAAGGGCATGTACCTGGGTTGCAGGCACATCCCCAGTGGGGAGTGTGCAGGAGGCAGCTGATCGATGTTTCTCTCTCATCGATGTTTCTGACTCTCTATCTCTCTCCCTTCCTCTCTGTAAAAAATCAATAAAATATATTTTTTTTAAAAATAAAAAATAATAAAAAATACACAAATAAAATATTATTGTTAATATTACTACTTGTTAACCAAAAGTGTTTATACTTAAATGACTCGGTTGTATCATACATAGTTTAAGATGAATTGGTAGAGAAGTAATAGTGACAGTTGAATAAACTTAAACCTCTGTTTATGGTACTCTATGTAGCAGAACATATAACTATTTATTGACTCAGTGCCCTACTGATGTCTTTGTTGTACTGTCAGTGTCTTTATCCTTTTTTTGTTGTTTTTGTTTTGTTTTTAGATCTGTTGGGAGAACGTTTTGCACAATGGATGGGCGTGGGAGCCCAGTTCACATTCATCCTTCCTCAGCAGTAAGTATCTTATTTTTAATAAAGAGAAGAAATTTATAAAGGTGTAAGATTAAGTGATATACAGATGTCGTCTACTTTTTGCTTTGAGGTTAAGTTTATAATATAACTATGTTACATAAAGCTGTAAAGGTATTGAGTTGGTCTCTATCCTGATTGAAGCATATAGGGATTAATTCAGAAGAGTTTGGGCTAATAGTATTTGGTTGGTCTAATGTAGAATAAGGCAGTTTATTGAGTTATCATCTCTAAGTGAGTTCTTTTGTACAGCTTCACGAACAGGAAACCAAACTTGAATGGATCATTTTTCATGAGGTATTAGTTACCACCAAAGTCTACGCAAGAATTGTGTGTCCAATTCGCTATGAATGGGTGAGAGACTTATTACCCAAGTTGCATGAATTTAATGCACAAGACTTGAGCAGTGTGGCCCGACGTGAAGCAAGAGAAGATGCAAGAAGGAGGTGGACAAATAAGGAAAACGTAAAACATCTAAAGGGTGAGTATATCACTTGTTCTGGTTATATAATCCAGGAAACATAAATGTCCAAATTCTTATGTAATTACAGAAATATTGTTACAGGACTTACATTCTGGCTCTATCTACTCAGAAAGCAAAGAATTATCATTAGTCTCAGACTTCGTTATTTTGACTTCCTTCTTTGCTTCTAGTTAATCTTGTTTTTTTTTAAACCCCTCTGTCCAATAGCATTGTTAATAAGAATATATATTGAGTTTTTATCATATGCTAAAAGCTTGCATTACCCCATTGGGGAATTTTCATAATAACATATAAGGTAAGTAAATATCCCCACTTTATATATGAAGAAGTACTTAGCAGTTGTACAATACTTTGCTAAAAATCCTATAGCTCATAATTGGTGAATCTGGATTCTGAATCAAGTAACCTGATTCTATGGTCCTTACTCTTAGCTATTATGCCATACTGCTTCCCAGTAGTACTTTATTATTTTTATTTGGTTTATAAAATTTTGTGAGTTATTTCCTCAGAACATCTCTTTTTTATTTTTCCGTGAAATGTTAGGTTCCTAATTGGGAGGCATAAACAGTGCGGTACTGAACTAGGACAGAAAGCTTAATTCTTACTTAGTTCACACATACAAAAAGCTTTTCAGTAAAGCTTTCTGAGGCTGATTGATGGAACAAGTTATATTATCCTTATTTAACATCACCGAGAAATGAAATGGTGAGGAATTTGCCCAAGATGATAGAATAGTCTTTTTAGTAACATTAGACACTAGACGTTTTGTTGCAGTGTATAACTGTAGTGTATAAATGCTTGAATAGGGCCAGTTTTTCTGACTGCTTCAGCCTCCATGCTCTTGTTTTTTAGCCATAGACTATATTTGGTTTTTTTGAAAGGGCAGAATTTAATTTAATTTTACCTAAACATTGAAAAATCAGGGCATCTCTTTCTCTTAACCTTTCTAGCACTGAATCTCAAAATTCAAGTTTTACTGGATTAATTTGTAATATTTTCAGATGGAATATCAAAAGAAGTCCTAAAGAAAATGCAAAGGAGAAATGACGATAAATCCATATCAGATGCACGAGCTCGTTTCCTTGAGAGAAAGCAGCAGAGGTCCCAGGATCACAGTGACACACTGAAGGGAACAGGCTAAGCAGTGAACCCTCCAATTCAGGAAGTAGGAAAAGCAGCCAAGAAATGTGCTTCTACTTTTACCATTTGTGTAAGACAGCACTACCAAGATGAAGTGGTCAGCAGTTGTTTTTAGCATACGGGCGAGAAGCAAATCAAACTTATTAATACTAATGGATGCAATTTTCAGAGATGATTGGGTTGCCATAGTCATAGGCAATGATATATGAAACCAATGAAAGACAATACATGTGATATTTTTCTCACTTCAATTTTGCTGGCCTTAACTAGTATCAAATGCTGTTGTTGAGATATTTTCAAAGAACATTGAATTTTATGTAATCAGTGTGTATTCCATTTGCATTGAAGCATTAAAAATTATTTTCCTTAAATCTCTTTAAGGCCTTCTTTTGCTATTAGAATAGTATTATATCAGGCTATCAGGTAGGTGACCATTTCCTTCAGAAGGCTGAACATAAGAGGTTTTTATTCAGCAATATTTAGATGTCTGTTTAATTGCTAAAGAGCTTTATAGATATTTAGAGAAAAGACTTAACTAGTAAATAAGAAAATTGCCTATGGCAGTATTCTTTGTTGAATTAATATTAATCCTTAAATTGATTTTTCTGGGATTATATAAATTCCTTTTTATATAAAAGTATATTGTTTAAAACAGTAGCTATAGCCATTAACCAAAGGACAGATGATATATATATATATATATGTTCTTTTTGTAGCTGACTCTACATACTTGTATCAGCATCATGTATGTAAGTTGTGACAGTGTTTTCAAACAGCTCTTCTACCTGGCCTACTCTCTTGCCTCCAGTTGCTTGGGTAGGACCATTTAAACATCTATTATGCTGTTTTGAAATGGGATTTTCAAAGCAGCCAACATTACATTACCAGTGTTTCAAATTGGAACCTTGAGGCCAATATCACACTCAGGCCATATTCAACACCTGCCCACTCTATTGTTTACTGTCTTGTATTCTAGTTATTTGTGTATTTGTCTTTCTCCCACTAGATTATATGCTCTTTGTGGGCAGGAACTATGTCTTTTTCATCTTTGTATCTTTCATGGCACCTAGCACACTGCTTTGCACATAGTATTTACTCAATGTTTGTTGAATAAAGCTATTAGTTTATTTAAAATTCAAAAGGCAGTATAATGTGTGTTTTTAGAATTTTTGGTAAAAACCAAGAATCTAAATTGTTTATTGGTAACTAACACTTCTGCAGTTAGTTTTTTGTCAATATTAGATACTTGAAGTCTTTATTGAAAAATCACATGAGGACCCAAATCCATGTGTTTGTTCTTGAAGTAAGGTGAGTGGTGACAGTTTCTATGAACATTCCCCGCATTATTAATTTGTTTATTTTCATCTTAAGTGCCCTCTAGTGTTTCAGCATGTTAGTCCTATCAGTTCCCCTTGTCAGGTTTAATGTATTGGTGCATTCCTTCGATGTGGTAGGGGTGTATGTGGATTCTTAGAATAAAAGCTCTTTTATTTCTGTAAATTAAGCACACATTCAGTAAGTTAAGCACACGTTCTAAATCTATAGTCCATTCCGAAATTTCATTAGTTCTCCTAATAATGTTCTTTATGTTTTCCTAATTCAGGATTTAGTCAAGAATCAAGTATTATATTTAATCTTTTTTAATCTGGAAAAGGTCCTTAGTCTTTCTTTGTCTTTTACATTTATCAATCTTTTCCTTTTTCTTTTGTTGCATTGGACATTTTCAAATAACATTTTGACATTTTAAAATAATACAGACTAGTTATTTTATAGAATGTTCTCAATTTGCGTTTCTCTTAAAACATCAAATTTGGAGGCACATGGTATTTGCCCCTTACTGATATTTTGATTACTTGGTTAGGGTGTTTTTTTAATTTCTTCAGTAAGTAATTTGGAGGAGGGATACTTTGAAATAGCCTGTTCCTCATAAATTATCACCTTTTGGATTTATCATCAACTGATGATTCTTGCCTGAATCAGTTTTATTATTTCTATGGTTACAAAATGGTGATCCCCCCCAATTCTTTGCTATATTTATTTGTTATATTGTAAGGAAGAGCTTTCCTTGAAGAAGAATGTCTGATAAACAGATGGGTGCTAGAGAGCATAGCTCAGGACAGAGAATTAGAAAGCTAAGGGGATATTTGAGAGAGATGGCAAATAGTCCAGTTTGTTTGGTGCATAGAGTATATATAGGAGTTATAGGCTGAAAATGTTGGTCGAGGAAAGATTATATGGAAGGCTTTGAAAGCCATACTATGGAATTTGGACATTTTTGTGCTATATATGAATTTATTGGAGGGTAGTGACATCATTACAGCTTTAAGGTGTATTTGTGGCAGTGGTGTCCATAAGAGGAATTTACAGTATTTCTTTGAGAGGAATAATACTGGATCTAGTTGAGAAGGTGGAAGGAGCCTTGGAGGAAAGGTAGTGGTTATGAAGAAGTTTGTTTTTAAAAGAATATAGAGGATTCACCTTTAAATTACTAAATGAAACAAAACAAAAAGAAACAAATGAAGACAAATGTTATCATAGAAAATTGGGCAAAGGATCCAGTCTGCCATTTCATAAAAGAAGAAACGTGAATGGTCAATGAATAAGTTCCTGAATCTTCCCAGTAATTAGGGAAATGCAGTTGAAAATAACAGATGCCATTCTTTTTCATCAGATTGGCAACAATAATATGCCTGAAAAGTGTTGACATAGAATAAATTGTTCTTTTTTTAGAGAACATTTTTGGTAATACATAGTAAAGTTGAAGATGTGCTTAACCTGTGACCCAGAAAATCCACCTTGAGATTTATATCCTACGAACTCAGAGATTATATAAAATTCTCTATTCCTCATAAAATGTAACTCCCATAGATTTAACATCAGTTGATTTATAAAAATGTTATGTATGCCATTGTTTCTAATAGTAAAATATGGAACAGTGCATATAGCTATCAATAGGAAAATGGTTGAATAAATTGTGTTATGTTCTTATGGTTGAATTCTTTACAGCGTGCGTGAAAGTGATCTTTGAGACTCCTGATGCTTTGCAGAATAAGTGAACCAGTTTACATTCCTAACAGCAATGTAATAAAGTGCCTGTCTTACTGTAGCCTTGTAGTTCCTAATATTCTTTTATTGATAGACCAAAACAGGTGCCTCATTATTATGTTAACTTACATATTTAAATATTCAAGTCTTTCCTTATATTCAAATTGTGTACAGGAAATAAAATAGACTCATTTGAATTTGATAAGGCCAGATAGTAAGTATTTTAAGCTTTCGGGCCATACAGTCTTTGTTGCAACTACTCTGTTGTTGTAGTATAAAAGCAGTCATGGATAATACATAAAGAAATGGATATGTCTGTGTTCTAATAAAACTTTATTTATGGACAATGAAATTTTAATTTCATACAATTTTCACGTCAGGAAATAGTCTGTTTTTTTTAAACACTTGCACTCTAATCCAGGGGAGCAACTTTTCACATACCTATTCTAATTAAAATGATTTCATTTGAAAGAAAATATTTCAATTACTATTTACAAGAAAAGATCTTAATTTCGTGAAATATCTGCGACTCTTCTGGTTTTTACTTTTTCTTCAAAGCAGAGCTGATGGGATTGAGCATAACATAAATCAGTAAGTTAAAATTTATTCTCCCAAAGATTTTCAAAATAATCTGTATTACTTGTTAGTTGTTTCTTTAACCTTAAAATATGAATAATACAAAACTTTCTTGTGAAGCTTTTTAAAAAATTTCAAAGAAAATCACATTACTTGTTCAGATAAAATCTTCATATGTTTCTTAACCTGATTTTACATGGTCCTCAGCTAAAAAGTAGGAAATGTGGTGGTTTAACCCAAAATATCACCTGGCACCCAGTTTGGTGCTTTTTGTATATAGTGGTATTTATAAATGATTGTTGTGCTCATTCCAGGTGTGATTGTTAACAACCTAAGTTAGTCTAGGCTTCAAAATAAATAGGTGGTATAGTCAGTAAATGTTACTAGCTTAAGAAGTAGGGTAAATAGATTTTAAACTGAGTTTTTAAGGAAAAGTAGGACTTGGACTACAACAAGAAGGAGACAATTTTTGTGGCTGGGAAAAGAAATCAAATGATGGAAAGATTGTCACTTGAAGAAGGGCTTTTAAAAAAATATATACCTGCACACCCCCTACTGGGGATGTGCCCGCAACCAAGGTACATGCCCTTGACTGGAATCAAACCTGGGACCCTTGAGTCCGCAGGCTGACGCTCTATCCACTGAGCCAAACCGGTTAGGACAAGAAGGGCTTTTTTTTTAAAAAAAGGATTTTGCAGTTTCTAGTCTGTAATCTGGGATAACACTAAGTAGGTCAAATGAAGAATAATTTGCCACTCAGTCTTGCAGGTAGAAAAATACGAAAGTCAGCTTGGACTGGGGTTATCCTTTTGTAGTGTGCAGCACTTAAAAACTGCCATTGTGTGCCCATCTGCTACTCCATTTAATCCCTGTTCCTCAAGAAATGGGAGTTTTTAAGCCCTCAATGAGGAATGTAACCTCATCTATATTTTAACTAGATAGTCTGAAAATATAGAGATGGTTAAGGGCTGCCTTTATCAGGTTTTTATTTTCACCCTATGAAAGCTTTGAGTGGCTGGCATATCTAACTTGAAGAGATTAGGTGCTAACAGTGTTGGCTCAGGAAAGAAAAATAAAATTTAAATCAATAAGTATGAGGTAGGTTCATGAATGCTACATATTTTTCATTACTGTAGTGTTATGGACGGAATAGTAGTTGTATGGTTGTATACTGTACAACATTAAAGTCATAATTATTTGGAATAAGAGCAACCAGGAAAAATAAATAACCAGGTTTTCGGTTCATTTTACATAATCCACTTTTACCACATGACACATTGAGGTAAGGCATTTAAAAAAAAAGCAATTCCTAGTGTGTCCTAAATTTGGTACATATTCAGATTAGGCTAGATTTGCAGAACCATACAAAAACTACACAGTGATGAACCTGAGCCCCCCACCCCCTTTTAAAAATTCTCACCCAAAGATGTTTTTATTGAGAAACATCGATATGAAAAAAACATCGATTGGTTGCCTCCCATACGTGCCTGAAACTGTTGTTAATTGAATTAACCAAAGCTTTGTTTACCAAATCACAGTCCTTAACCATTCTGTTCTGAGGAAAAGTTTACTATGGTAACAAGTCTGTATGTACATTGCTACTGGTAGAACTATCCCTGTATTTTAAGATTGCTGAGAAAACATGTTTATGGGTCATGCCTTGCTTTGGAGACAGTAAAAACTCCAGGAAGTGACAAGAGACAGTTCTACATATTTAGAAAGGAGGAAAAATTAGCCCATAACAGTCATTCTCACACCTTTGACCCTCTCATTGCCCCTTCACTTTCAAGCTTCTTCCAATTTTTTTTTATATGTTGTGATGTGGCATCTGACTCTATTCAGCAGGGTTGTAACTGGATTTTTCTGAATGCCCTGTGTATCAGTATATTTGAACCAATTTTCCTAAGGTGACTTTAAGGCACTGTTTTGAGCCACTGCATTCCTTTGTGGGGATCTAATTTAACCTTTAGAAAACATGGGAGGGGACTATATAGTATGACTGGAATCCAGATATTCCCATAGGGCTGTTCACTTGGAACATGCTCAATCCTGATACAGAATAAAGATTCACTAGATCTTATTGCCATCCATGATGCATTATAAAATTTGTCTGTATAAATTAGGTTTAGGACAAGCCTGAGTGAGTGATTATTAAGTATACGTTCAGATCCATTTCATTCTAAAAAACACTATGAAAAAAAAATTTTTTTCTTGCCTAATGTTTCTTTTTGGGTGAGTTTTGCCTATAATCAGTGCTTTGTACAGGCACTGTCGAGTAATACCTGAGCCACTTACTGGGCATTTGATGTGTGCTGCTCTTTATTTAATCCTGGTGGGATTCTTAGCAGCAGGGGGGGGGGGGGGGGGGGGGGTGTCGACATGTTTCAAAGCTGCTGTTTAAAGGTCAAAACCAGTTATCTTACTTGGGTAAAGCTAAAGTATATCCTGTTCTGAATTTTAAATATTTGTTAGGTATAATGGGTTAGGTTTAAAGTCTGCTTTAATCTTAATGTTTGAGAA